CATTACGCCAGGTATAAGCGTTACATGTTACTTCAGTATTATTATTGTGATCATAAGCTACTGCTTTTAGCTCTGCTCTTATAGCACTATCATTATTGATTAATCTTGTTATTACACTGAATCCTTTAGCCACTATATCTGAATCTGTAGCCAGCTCATCATTAACTCTGACACTAAGTTCATTACCAGTTCCTTCACAAGAGAAGACAACAGTAGAGTTGAGTGTTGTATTAATAGAGACTGGCTGAACCGTTATATCTAGTATTGTATAATTGTTAGGTAGCATTTATGGAATACTGATACTCACTAGGCTGACTAGCACAATGAAACAACTGACAACGAAGTGCAAAGAAAAACAAAGTCCTTAGTAGTGTAGTTGCAGAAATGCAGACCATATTGAGCTTAGTGCCTAGATAGTAGACGCACCCCAAAAGTAGATCTAACCTATATCATTTATTATCATGCGGGCTAACATGACTTAGAGGGCGGGTAAGTGATAATCATATCTATATTGTGATAATGTCACTTGATCAAAATGAATTTTAGCAGCTACGCCCCAGTGTTTATGGTGGGCTGATACTGTTTTACTTCGTTGAAAATGATAAAAAATATAACGGTTTTAGCTTTAATTTTCTTTCTTTTGCTGCAATATATTGATTGTACTGGTAAGTATTCTACAACTATTTTGTTATTTTTATTGTGAATGTCCATAGATATAACGGTTCAGCCAGTGTCTATTAATACAACACTCAACTCTACTGTTGTCTTCTCTTGTGAAGGAACTGGTGATGATCTTTCCTTCAGGGTTAATAATACAGCAGCTACTAATATAGATGTTATAGCTAGTGGATTTAGAGGCACGACAACTAATAATGGCGGTACTAGAAAAGTAGAGTTACAAGCAATAGCCTATGATAATAATAATAACACTGAAGTAAAGTGTCGAGCTATTACTCTTGATCCTCCTAAAATAGTATTCAGTAAAACGGTAATACTAATGATACAAGGTTAGTGTGTGTGTGTGTGTGTGTGTGTGTGTGTGTGTGTGTGAATGCATCATTAGTCACTTCTTTAGGTCTATTGGCCAGTGTGGTTGATCTGGATTATACCTTTATTGATGACGGATCCAGTGTATTATTAACATGGACAGCTCCTTATACACTGGATAATGTACCTATCACTGGATACTATATAGTCAATGAATTAGTGACCATTACTACCAATAATACTAATTTTACATCAGCTACTAATCCTGATCCTTGTATATTAAATAATGTATCAGTTTCTGCTATTAATGATGTTGGAATAGGATCATCCAATAATATCCGTTTTTATTATGAAACAGGTTAGCATTACTATGGCTTCATGTATATGTTCACAGTGTATCTTTCAGTTCCTCTCATTACTCCTCCTGTATCAGTGGTACCAGTAATTGATGGACAACAAATATCATTGAATATTAGTATTAATGTAAGTATATTCAATAAACATCATTTCACAATAGCAAACCTACATGTAGCTGTTATAAAAGGTATTCATAAAACTATGATTGTATTTTTCTTAAATTTTAAATAACTTCAATTCATTTATTCCCACAATAATAGATCAGTACAATATGTAAAGGAGAGTATCCTAATAGTGTAACAGTTAGTATACTAAATACTGATGATGAAATAATACACAATGCCAGTGTATCAACACAATTTAATGATCAAATGATGGCTGTAACTGGAAGTACTAGTTCCATATTGTTATCTGATAATACATTTATTGTTAATGTATTATTAAGTAATGATGGAGGAACCTTTAATGACATGTCATCTTTTATATTTGGTAAGTACTGTAGCTGTTAATTAATTTTTGAGGGACAATTTTTAGTGCAAATTGCTAAATTTTTTAGTGATGGCCTAGGGTCAAAAATATTTTTTAGAGCTAAGTAATTTAATTTTAGTTTTACCTACATGTATCAGAAGCATAGGAAGATTTTGGAGAAGAGAGGCTAAAATGAAATTATTATTAATAAATTAATTAATAGACTGAGTTAAGAAAGTTGAATTAAAAATTAAGGGGGCTCCTGCCTCCCTGCTTCCTACGCCACTGTGTATGTAAACTGTAAAGCAGATGCACTCATTTTAGTAGACTTAGTCTTAAAATTGAGACTTTCTTAAAAGGTCTGCATCATGCAGTAGGTTGACCACATCCCGTAACTACCCCTCCCATCTTATAGTTATCTACCAAAAAAATAAATCCTAGATTTGCCCTTTGGTTTGAAAAGTTTCAATTTTGTTTTGGTGAATGACCAAATTTATCAAAATTTTCTTCCTCTAAACATCTTACTGGTATACACTAGGTTTTCTTGGACCAGTTACTAACATTGAATCTTCAATTGATGATTGTTCTACTATTGATATAACATGGACTGCTCCTACAGTTGATGATGGAGTATCTATACTATATTACATACTCAATATATATGATGCTATTACTGGTAGTCTAGTGGATACTGTATTAGTATATGGTACCAGTTATCAGTTTGTGGATAAAAAATTATTTATTCATTGTTATACATTTGTTATAACTGGAGTTAATGAATTAGGAGAAGGAATATCTAATAATGATACATTCTCATATCAAAGAGGTATAATAAACAATAATTACTGAATGAATGATTTTTTGTTTACTTAGGACCAAGATCAGTGACAAAAGCTGGTTTGAGTGGGATAACAGCATATAATGAGACTAGTGTTACTGCTTCTTTCAATATACCAGTAATAATTATATCATTTTTGTAGTTATTATTTATTATCACTATTATAGATTACATTGGTCTGTACTGGTGAAGCTCCTGAGGATGTTACAGTTATTATACGATGTGGAACTGGTTTTTTCTTGTCAGCTACATATATAGTGAAATTTGCTCATATGTCAGTAAATACAACAAGATCAGTATCAGGCATACCAATATATGAACAGTGTAATATCAGTATTGTAGTTAGTAATGAGGCTGGTAGTAGTGAACCATTTACACTAGCATTTGGTAAGTATAATGTATGTGTTTATATTACATACTCAAGTATTGCATTAATAGATACACATCCTACTAACACTAATGTCACAACTACTGTACAAACATCCTCTACTGCAACACCTATAACAAAAAGTCTTAATATTAATACTGGTTAGTATGATATATGTATATGATACATATGTTATTATAGGTATTATAGGTATTGTACTTATTATCACAGTATCAGGTGTTTTATTGCTAATATGTATTATTGTTAGTATTACATGTACATGTGTTGTATGCAAAAGGATTAAGAATACATTATACATTTTGAAGAGGCAAGGTAAAAAGGGTCCGGCAAAGACAGCGACTTACCGCAAATATAGTTTAACTGAACTTTAATGGTGCTAAGATGATTTAAACTAATTAAAACTATCAATGCATAAAAATACATTTTATTATTACTATTATTATTATTATTATTACTATTATTATTATTATTATTATTATTATTATTACTATTATTATTATTATTATTATTATTATTATTACTATTATTATTATTATTATTATTACTATTATTATTATTATTATTATTATTATTATTATTATTATTATTATTATTATTATTATTATTATTATTATTATTATTATTATTATTATTAGGATTATTATTATTATTGTTATTATAAATCCAATAAGACCAAGAGCAAGACCGAACAGATTATTTTATTATTATTATTATTATTGTTGTTGTTGTTGTTGTTATTGTTGTTTTTGATAAATATTTTATTTTGCCAGAAGTTTTGACAAATTCATTTGCACTATCATTAGTACAACTGTTGGAACCACTTCATGTGACTATTATGACAATTTAATACACCTAAGGATACAACATTCCCATGGTCAGAGTTGACATTTGCAATATCTGTAGTTAACAAAAGTTTCTTCTTTTTTCTTAATTTTTATTTGTGGGTCTAAAAAGCATAATTCTATTTACAACTGAGCCATATCAACAATTGACTAAGTAGATAATCTTAAAGTAGACTTGTGGACTGGGTGGAAAAAACATACTAAAAAGTGGTAATGAATAAATGAATACCAGAGAACTTTGACCGTTTTACTGGCACTGTTACTGAATAAAATGCTAGTTGCAATAATTATGAAACTATCTTATTATTTGTATTATTCTAGATGTGGACTATTAAGGTATCAGTTGCCTATGATGTCCAGTAGCTTTATACACAAGCTGTTTTATCATCATGCATCAATACTATCATTCATGCAGCTTTCTGACTTAATTGAATTAGATCCTAAATAATAGAATCATGCTCATTAAAGTTTTTCATAGATTATCTTGCCTCCCATAGAACTCCAGTCCATCAAAGGTGGATAGTAGAGGGGCTGGGATCAGAGTTTTGTCATAAAATTTTATTTTTATCTTAATGAAGCGTATATATAAGGAGGTATTCATGTTAATAGTACTGTAGCACTGACTGGATCCATAAAAATAAATCTATAATCTAGATCAACAACTAATAAGTTAAAATTATAACATAGAAAATTGCCATCTAGTAAATTCAATACTGTATCATGTACCACTTTTTGTGGTCAATGCACAATACATACAGGACCACTGCTTGAAGAGGCCTAGGGCTGTAAGTAATAGTGCTATAGCTAATAGCTTTATAACTTAACTAAATCCTTAAGATTACAACATTTGTAATATTAAAATCTGCTTTATTTAACACTGAAGGAAACAAGAAAATACAACTTACATGCACATGAGTTACTATTACATAGCTAAAACTT